ACCTGTAGTCCCAGCTGCACAGGAGGCTGAGGCAGGAGGACTACTTGAGCACAGGAGTTGGAGGCTGCAGTGAGCTATGATTGTTCCACTGCACTCTAGCCTGGGCAACAGAGCAAGCAAGTCTCTCTGTTTTTTTGAGATGGAGTCTCACTGGGTCTGGGTCCTCCAGGCTAGAGGGCAGTGGCACAGTCTCAGCTCACTGAAACCTCTACTTCCCAGGTTCAAGCCATTCTCCTGCCTCAGCCTCCCGAGTAGCTGGTTTACAGGCATGTACCACCACGCCCAGCTAATTTTTTGTATTTTTAGTAGAGATGGGGTTTCATCATGTTGGCCAGGTCTCGATCTCCTGACCTCAGATGATCAGTCCGCCTTAGCCTCCCAAAGTGCTGGGATTACAGGCGTGAACCACCATGAGACCAGCCTGGCAAACATGTTGAAACCCCATCTCTGCTGAAAATACAAAAGATTAGCTGGGCGTGGTGGTGCGTGCCTGTAGTCCCAGCTACTTGGGAAGCTGAGGCAAGAGAATAGCTTGAACCCGAGAGGGGGAGGTTGCAGTGAGCCGAGATCACACCACTCCAGCCTGGCAACAGAGGGATACTCTGTCTCAAAAAAATTCCAGCACTGGGATTAAAAAATCACAGGGCAGTGGAGAAATCCCATCTCTACTAAAAATACAAAATTAGCCGGGCGTGGTAGTGCACGCCAGTAATCACAGCTACTTGGGAGGCTGAAGCAGGAGAATTGCTTGCACCCGGGAGGCAGAGGTTGTGGTGAGCCGAGATCGCACCCCTGCACTCCAGCCTGGGCGACAGAGTGAGACTCTGTCTCAAAAAACAAAATGTGAACAGTGTTCCAGACTGCAAAAACAGCAGGAACAAAGGCCCTGAGGCCGAAACTTGCTTAGTGTGAGTAAGGGCGTGGAAGTGAGGGCAGGAGGGACATATGGCAGATAGCGCAAGTTTTTATGGGCCATGGGAAGATTTGGGCTTTTGCTCTAAAGGAGGTGGGAGCCGAGGATTCTGGGCAGAGGGAAGGAGGGAGGGACGTGAACTGACTCTGATGTTCACCGGCGCCCTCTGGCGGCTATCGTGGGTAGTAGACCTGGGGTTGAGGATGGAAGTTCAGAGAGCAGGGAGGCAGCTGCTGTCAGGAAATCCAGATGGTGTCTTGAGCTGGGAATTCAGGGAGGGTGTTGGGGGGAGGGGGGAGCAGCAGGGATGTGGAGGAATTCGGGGTCTAAACAGAAGAGCACACAGGCCTGGCTGATGGATTGGATCTGCTGGGGTTTTGGTCTGAGGACGTGGAAGATGGGGTTTCCAGTATGCGACGGATGGGAAGACAGTGAGACATTTCCCTCACTCCTCCTCACCTCCTTGCACCCCGCTCCCTTTGCTTTTTTGTTTTTAGATGGAGTTTCGCTCTTGTTGCCCAGGCTGGAGTGCAGTGGTGCGATCTTGGCTCACTGAAACCTCCGCCTCCCTGTTTCAAGCGATTCTCCTGCCTCAGCCTCCTGAATAGCTGGGACTACAGGCGCGTGCCACCACGCCCAGCTAATTTTTGTATTTTAGTAGAGACGGGGTTTCGCCATGTTGGCCAGTAAGCTCTCAATCTCTTGATCTCGTGATCCGCCCGCCTCGGCCTCCCCAGCTGCTGGGATTACAGGCCTGAGCCACTGCCCGGCCTCGCTTGCCGAATGAATGAATGCATGCATGAGACCCGTTATCCTGCAGGTCGCCAGGAGCTCGGTGTTGAAGCCAGAGTGGGATCACCTTGAAGCCCTCAGCCGCGGGGGGAATGAGATGGTGACGGGAATTATGGGCCAGGGACACCGCGGGTGTAGACGCACGCATCCCCGCATGGAAGCGGAGGGGTCTGGCCGGGCCCCAGCACCTGGTCTTCCTCGCGTTCCTCCTCTGCCTGCAGGTCCGCCGCCATGGGGACGCCCTGGCTGCGCGCGCTGCAGCTGCTGCTCCTGCTGGGCGCGTCATGGGCGCGGGCGGGCGCCCCGCGCTGCACCTACACCTTCGTGCTGCCCCCGCAGAAGTTCACGGGCGCCGTGTGCTGGAGCGGCCCCGTGTCCGCGCGGGCGACGCCCGAGGCCGCCAACGCCAGCGAGCTGGCGGCGCTGCGCTTGCGCGTCGGCCGCCACGAGGAGCTGCTGCACGAGCTGCAGAGGCTGGCGGCGGCTGACGGCGCAGTGGCCGGCGAGGTGCGCGCGCTGCGCAAGGAGAGCCGCGGCCTGAGCGCGCGCCTGGGGCAGCTGCGCGCGCAGCTGCAGCACGAGGCGGGGCCCGAGGCGGGCCAGGGGGCGGAGCCTGCCGCGGCGCTGGCGCTGCTCGGTGAGCGCGTGCTCAACGCGTCCGCCGAGGCTCAGCGCGCCGCCGCCCGCTTCCACCAGCTAGACGTCAAGTTCCGCGAGCTGGCGCAGCTCGTCACCCAGCAGAGCGACCTCATCTCCCGCCTGGAGCGCCTGTGCCCGGGGGGCGCGGGCGGGCAGCAGCAGGTAACCTCGCAGCCTCCCGAAATAGCAGCATCGTCTGTGAAATCGGCCTTTTGCAACCCCACGATCTCTTATCCGCGGTTCTGAAACCTGCAAAACCCTGAAAATCGGATTCCTACTAGCCCCCTCTCGTAACGTATTTGGGTCAAAAAGTGACTGGTGGCTATTTCTAGCCTTTACTTATCCACTTAATGTGAATAGTCATCGGATCCTATAATTAAGCATATTATCACGTAAAGAGCAAAAACCCCTTTAGGGGCGTTATGTATGTTCCATACACACATGCATATACATAACCCTCCCTGAATCTAAATCCAGCCGTGTTGTTCCGAATTCTGGAACATGTCTGGGTCTGGGTTTGGGATAAGAGATTGTTGCTCTGTGACAGTCCCTGCCTTACAGGGTGGGTGGGAGGAGTCAGTAAGTTGGATATTGTTGGATGTGTTCTTACTATCTCTACAGAGAAGAAGGCTGGGGCACAGATCAGTTAAGCCGTGAGGACAAAGAGCGGATATTTAAGCCTAGATCTGTCTGCACTTTATTATTTTATTTTATTTTTGAGACGGAGTCTCGCTCTGTCTCACAGGCTGGAGTGCAGTGGCACGATCTCAGCTCACTGCAACCTGCACCTCTCAGGTTCAAGCAATTCTCCTACCTCAGCCTTCCAAGTAGCTGGAATTACAGGTGCATGCCACCCCATCCAGCTAAATTTTGTGTATTTTTGGTAAAGACAGGGTTTCACCATGTTGGTCAGGCTGGTCTCAAACTCCTGACCTCAGGTGATCCGCCCGCCTCAGCCTCCCAAAATGCTGGGATTACAGGCATGAGTCACTTCGGCCGGCCTGTCTGCACTTTAAAGCCAAGTTGTTTAGCCTTTGGGGAGGATCATTCCTAGGGCTGGGACACCTCACTGCCAGATGTCAGGTCATTTGGGAACTGGGAGATTTATCCACCATCCCTGCCCCTGAGACCAGGCCTCCTGGCCTGAAGGTTAGTACAACTACACCTGACTTTCTCTGTTACCTTAGGTCCTGCCCCCACCACCACTGGTGCCTGTGGATCCAGTCAGTCTTGTGGGTAACACCAATGACAGCAGGAGGAGGCTGGACTCAGCCCCAGAGCCCCAGAGAGACCAAATCCTGAGACAGCAGGAGCCCCTGGCTTCTCTCATGCTTGCAGTTCACCCTGCTGTTCCTACCAAGCCTGCGGGTAAGTCGGCAGCAGGGCTGAGGAACTGTGGGTAGAGGGAAATTGAGGAGTCAGGATTTTAGTGGCAGATTTCTCTCATTGTGAGAGGACTGGAATAAATAATACTCTTATTCTGATTTTTAAAAAGACCAAACTTCTTACTAAGGTGTGAAAATAGGATAAACAAGAAAAGGAAGAGGGACTCTTATTTTTAGTGAGGCAATAGTAGATTTAGCACTGCTACTTTGGTAAGAGTTTGAGGTGGTTCAGAGTACTATGTTCAGGACTTATATTCTGGTGAGGAGACCATTAAAAAACCAGGATTTAAGAATCCGACTTGACATTTCCTCTGATCAGAGACAAGGGACCCAGAGTCTTAGGTAAAGAAATGGCTATTGAGGCTTGGATTCTGGTGAGGAAATGGGAGAGGCAGGCCTCTTATTGTGGTGAGGACATGGGAGAGACAGGACTCTTTGGTAGAAAAGCGGGAGAGGCAGGACTCTGTTTTTTTTGTTGTTGTTGTTTGTTTTTTCTTTTGTTGTTTTTTGTTTGTTTTGTTTTTTGTTTTTGAGAGGCAGGACTCTTATTCTGGTAAGAGGACCTGTGAGAATCTCAACTCTTGCTCCGGGAAGGGATTGGTCAGCCCAGGCTGTGCCTCCCCATATCGCTGTGCCTACAGGCCCATGGCAGGATTGTGCAGAGGCCCGACAGGCAGGGCATAAACAGAGCGGAGTGTATGAACTGCAAGTGGGCCGGCGCGTGGTGTCAGTATGGTGTGAGCAGCAGCTGGAGGGTGGAGGCTGGACTGTGATCCAGCGGAGGCAGGATGGTTCGGTCAACTTCTTCACTACCTGGCAGCACTACAAGGTGGGCACAGGCGGGCAGAGGCAGGGCAGGGGAGGGAGCCTGTTCTGGCCTCCTGACTTTCCTGCCCTTCCAGCTGGGCTTTGGGCAGCCAGACGGAGAATACTGGCTGGGCCTTGAACCTGTGTATCGGCTGACCAGCCGTGAAGACCATGAGCTGCTGGTGCTCCTGGAGGACTGGGGAGGCCGTAGAGCACGTGCCCACTATGATGGCTTCTCCCTGGAACCCGAGAGTGACCACTACCGCCTGCGGCTTGGCCAATACCATGGTGATGCTGGAGATTCTCTTTCTTGGCATAATGACAAGCCCTTCAGCACCGTGGATAGGGACCGAGATTCCTATTCTGGTAAGGAGAACTCTTATTCTGGTGGGAGGATAGGGGAGACGGGACTCCTGTTTTGGTGTGGGAATACAAGGAGATGGGGTAGGTAAGACGCCCCTCTGTTAAGTATTAGGATAAGCAAGATTTTATTCTGTCAAGAGAACAAGGGACAGGACTTTTATTCTGGTGAGGGGACAGGGAGCCCAGATTCCTTCTCTGATGAAGCAAAAAAAAAAAAAAAAGAATCAAGACTCCTGTTTGGGTGAAGAGCAGAGGGTGAGAGCTAGTACTCTTATTCTAGAAAGGAAGTAGATAATTACTTTCTTTTATTTGATAAAGGAATAAGCAGTAGACTCCTAGTTTGCAGAAAAGGTGGGAAAGAAGTGACTTGTACTTTGATAAGGAGATAGGGAAGGAATTAAGGCTATTACTCTGAAGAAAATTGGGGACCAGGGCTCCTATTTTGCTGAAGAGATGGAAGATCAGGGCTTGTATTGAATAAGAATAGGAGGGGCCAGGGGATGCCTGGCAAAAGCCTTACACTGTGAGGTGCAGATAGAGGCTTTTATTCTGATAAGGGGACATGGACTCTCTCTCTCTCTCTCCCCTCAGGTAACTGTGCCCTGTACCAGCGGGGAGGCTGGTGGTACCATGCCTGCGCCCACTCCAACCTCAATGGTGTGTGGCACCGTGGCGGCCACTACCGAAGCCGCTACCAGGATGGTGTCTACTGGGCCGAGTTTCATGGCGGGGCATACTCTCTCAGGAAGGCCGCCATGCTCATCCGGCCCCTGAGGCTGTGACTCTGTTCCTCTGTCCCCTAGGCCCCAGGGGACATTGGTCAGCAAGAGCCCAAGTTGTCCTGGCCACACTTTCTTTGTGGCTCAGTGCCAGTGGGTCCCACGGAACTTCCCCTCCGTGGATCTGTGACCCTGGGCGCTGCAAATGGGACCCAGGAATCCCGCCCTGCCAATATCTCGGCCCCAGATGGCTCCCCAAGGTCATTCATATCTCGGTTTGGGCTCATATCTTATAATAACACAAAGTAGCCACAGACCGTGTCTGGTTTGTGTCTGCACCTGGCAGGGGTCACTCCCTGGGCCCGCCCTCCTCTTCCTCCACCTCCTCTTCCTCCTCCTCCTCCTCCTCTTTCAGATCCTCCAGGATGAGGTTGTCCAGGTCTTCCAGGAGGCCCCCCTGGCTCAAGCAGGTGGCCACAGTGGAGCCACTGCTGATATGAGGGTTGCTGGGGTGGAGCACTTTGGGCAGGTGGTTCTGCTTCCGGCTCTTGGGGTGAGCACAGGATGTCCCAGGCACATGGGGCTCTAGGGAGGGAAAGGTGTCTGAGGAGGAGGGGGCTGAGGCCATTCGGGGCTGTAGGGAGGGGCTGAGGCCACAAGATATGGGGACCAGAGTGACTGGACATTCAGAGACCCAGGGACATGGGGAGTCAACTAAGACTACAGGGGACAAAACAGGGGCCCCAAACCCAGAGACCATGGGGGCAGAGGCCATGGAGACCCTCAGGCATGGGCCACTGGGGTGAAACCTCAGAGCCTGTGGGCAAGACCACAGAGACTGGGGGGCCACGGAGGCCACCTGGAAGCAGTGGCTGCTGCTGTGGGAGATGAAGTGGACTGAGTGGAGATTTGGGGACTTAAAGGGACAGAAGGGGATGAAGACTGCCCAGGTTGTTAGGGGAAAAGAGCCTCACCTCGCCGGTTGTAGCAGTCAGCAGCCGAGCAGGAGTGAGTGTGGGTGCTGCGGCGATCCGTGTCCCGGTCCCAGCGCGGGGGGAGGATCCGTGTTGGATACACGGGGAAGCCACACCCGTAGCAGGGAGACGGGGACCCCATCTGTGCCCAGCCCCTGGGGGCGGGCAGGGCTGTGAGGGTCCGAGGGCGGGCGAGGCTGGGCCAGGGTGGGGCCAGGGCAGGGAGGGGCAGGGCTGGGGTGGGGCAGGGCTGAAGGGGAGCTGGGGATCAGCGCCCTCACCGGAAGTTGTGCCGACACTTCGGGCAGTGGAACTCAGCCAGGCCCCACATCTTGTCGGCTGGCACTGGCTCGTAGCGCTTCCGGCATTTCCGGCACCGGGATACCTGTTGGTGGTGGGGAGGGGGGTGTGGAGAGGGGACCCAGGGTTGTTAGAGGGTCAGGGGTAACAGGATGCTGCAGCAGCTGGCCTCAGCTTGAGCAAGCCAACTCAATCAGTAACTACATCCATAGCCTGATATTCACCATGGTGGGAATATTTACACCATGAAAATTGGCAAACACTACACAGCTCGGCTTCCTGCCTCTTTTGCAAGACTTAAGCGTTGAACGGAAGCAAACTGCTGGTCAGGAGGTTCAGAGGCCAGATTTGGGGCTGTGTTTTTGAGGTCAAATTTGGTTTCTTTTCTTTTTCTTTTTTTTTTTTTTTAGAGACAGAGTCTTGCTCTGTTGCCCAGCCTGGAAGGCAGTGTGATCATGGCTTACTGCAGTCTCAATCTCCCAGGCTCAAACAAGCCTCCCACCTCAGCCTCCTGAGGAGTTGGGACCACAGGCACATACCACCACTCCCAGCTAATTAAAAAAAATTTTTTTGCCCGGTGCAGTGGCTCATGCCTGTAACCTCAGCGCTTTGGGAGACCGAGGCAGTAGATTGCTTGAGCCCAGGAGTTGAGACCACTTGGGCAACATGGCAAAACCTGATCTCCACACACACACACATACAAATATAAAAATTAGCCAAGTATGATGGTGCAGGCCTGTAGTCCTAGCTACTTGGGAGGCTGAGGTGGGAGGATCACCTGAGCCCAGGAGGTGGAGGCTGCAGTGAGTTATGATCACACTACTGTACTCCAGTCTGGGTGACAGAGCGAGACTCCATCTCTTAAAAATTTTTTTTCTTTTCTCGCCCTGTCACCCAGGCTGGAGTGTAGTGGTGCAATCTCAGCTCACTGCAGTCTTCACCTCCCAGGTTTAAGCTCTTCTCCTGCCTCAGCCTTCTGGGTAGCTGGGATTACAGGTGCCCGCCACCAGGCTCGGTTACTTTTTGTATGTTTTAGTAGACACAGGGTTTCACCATCTTGGCCAGGCGGGTCTTGAATTCCTGACCTTGTGATCCACCCACCTTGGCCTCCCAAAGTGCTGGGATTACAGGCATGAGCCACGGCACCTGGCCCCCCAAAATTTTTCTTCGGAGACAAGGTCTTGTTCTATCACTCAGGCTGGTCTCAAACTCCTGGGCTCAAGCAATCCTCCCAATCCTCCCTGCTTAGCCTCCTAAAGCACTGAGATTGCAGCTGCAAGCCACTGCACCTGGTCAAGTTTGATTTCTGTAGCAGCTGTTCAACTGTGGGGTCAGGTGTCAGGCTCTGGGGTAAGGGGTTACTGGGCTTCTCACATTGAAGGTCAGAAGTCCAGTCCTGGGTCAGGGGTTGGGATCAGAGATCAGGGCTGCGCTCTGAGTTTGGAGGTCAGGGATTGGGCACTCAGTGATTGAAGCCCTTAGGTCAGAGGTGCAGTCACTGAGGCTGGGAGTTGGGAGTGGACTTCAGGACAGTCAAAGTCAAGGTTAAGTTGTGGGTCATCACCTCCTTCCTCTGGGGCACGCGGCGCCACCAGACGTGGTCGCAGGAGGAGCAGGCGAACTGCCGGTCCACAGCGGGGATAAGGTCATCCTGGGCCCGTTGAAACATGCGTAGGTTGGCTTCTGTCAGCGGCAGGAGGGAAGTCGCCACTGCCTGTGGAATGGGGCAGGTGGGGATGAGGCGGGGGCGGGGTCACCCCTTTTTCTTATTTTTTTTGAGATGGAGTTTCGCTGTTGCCAGGTTGGAGTGCAGTGGCGCGATCTCAGCTCACTGTACCGTCCACCTGGGGTCACCCCTTCTGTACCAACATAAACATCAGCCCTTCTGTCCCTACAGAGGGGTCTTCCTCCTGCCCCAGTGAGTATCTCCCCTCCTTTCCTAATGGACATGCTTCTGTGCCTGCAGATGTCCTCCTCCCCACTTCCCCATCCCCAGCCACAGCCACCAACTCACCTCAATGTCCCGGTCCTGTTTCATGTCTTCTGGTGGGTCCTGGGTGGAGATAGCAGGGGCAGAAACTGGAGATGGGGCTCAGGCCTCTTTCCACCCCTGTTTGCTGGGGTAGGGGCCTGGCTACAAGGAGAATGGGGTGCCCCTAACTCGCCAGGAACTCACAGAGCACTGCCCACTTACTGAGAGCCAGGTGTGTGGCCTCAGTTGTCCTCATAGCTGCCCTGAGAAGTGGGCACACCTGTGACATTATTGCTGCACTGGGGAAACTGAGGCTTAGTGGAGGACTTGCCTGAGTGAGGCCAGCCTGACCCCCATACTCACTTCCTGCCTGCAAATGCCACATGCTTGTTGGTGTTGTGACACATCACCCCTTTGAGGCCACGCTGTGCCAGGGATAAGTGGTGGGGATCTGGATTGAGAGAGATTCGGGTTTGAATCCTAACTCTATCACTTCCAGCTGTGGGGACTTGGGCAAGCCACTCCCTGCCCCCTGGGTTCCCACTGACTGACAGGCATGTCAGAGCTCATGCTCTGACTCCAGGTGGCCAGGGTTCAAATCTCAGCTGCCACCTGCTTGCCGCGTGAACCTGGCAAGTGACTTCAAGCCTCAGTTTCTTTGTCTGTGAAATAGGGATGATAAATAATAGGACCTGTCTCCTGGGTCACTGTGGTGATGAAACAAATCAATTCCTGGAGTCTCGCCATGTGGGAAGTAATCAATGCTACCTTCTGCTATTGTTATTATTATACATTTTTGAGACGGAGCTTTGCTCTCGTCGCCCAGGCTGGAGAGCAATGGCACGATCTCAGCTCACTGCAAACTCCGCCTCCCGGATTCAAGTGATTCTCCTGCCTCAGCCTCCCAAGTAGCTGGGATTGCAGGCATGCACCACCACGCCCGGCTAATTTTTTGTGTTTTTAGCAGATACAGGGTTTCACCATGTTGGCCAGGCTAACCTCAAACTCCTGACCTCAAGTGATCTGCCCGCCTCTACCTCCCAAAGTGCTGGGATTACAGGCATAAGCCCCTGCACCCAGCCCCTCTGCTATGTTTTTATCATACTTTTATATGTGTAAATGTAGACTATGGTACATATTTTATTATACTCTTTAACAGCCCTACACTGAGCCTTTCAGGCAGGTGAAATCCACAGTGTTCCCATCACCAAAGCTGTCAAAGAAGCAAAGTAGCCACGTTGCACCTGTGCTTCAAAGCCATTCATGCACTCACGCACTCACTCAACACAAGGGTTCCATTTCCCCACCTCTCTGTCCTCCCCAATCCCCTGCTCATCCCAGCCTTTTTAGGGACTGCCACTAACACCCCTTCCCCACTTCCAGTCTTTGCTCATACCATTCCCTCCCCCACTCCAAGACCCCTGGCTTCCCCTCCCAGGGCGCACTCCACCCCATCCTTTAAGACTTGGTAACTCCTCCTCCAGGAAGCCTTCTCTGACCTCTGGGGTTCCCCTACCATGGCAATAATCCTGGCTCCTTTCATTGCCTAGTTTCATGGCTCTCTCTCCCTCATTGAATACAATCAACACATAATGAGTGCCTACTGTTTGCAGGCTCCCTGGCCACGCAAACCACGGAGAGGTGAAAAAGTGAATAAGATTGGGTGATGAGTTGCCGACGATAATGCCTGGTCCCTGCTGTTTCAGAGGAGGGTCACCATGAACGGGTCGGGTCCCCTCTTGCTCTCCGTCCCGTGACCCAGTCCTTTGAGAGGGGAGAGGTTACCTGGGCATCCAGGTCGTTACTCAGTTCTTGGCCATCTTTTTGCTTTACCCCTGCAGGGGAGAGTGCGTCTAAGGGAAGGGCCTTTGAAGGGTCTATGGGAGTTCCAGGCCACCCAGAGCCGCGACGCAGAGCCTCCCCCAAGCTGGGATCTCCAGGGGAGGTGATCTCAACGCCTCTCCCTAGACCACGCCCCCTCGGCGATCCCACGCGCAGTCCCCGCACCAGGCCCGGGACCCCCTCAGCCTCACCGTACACGATGGAGCGCCCCACTCCTGTGTGGTCGCTGCCGAATTTCCTCATCAGAGCCCCCGCCTTCTTGGAGGATACCTTCCCATGAAACTTCTCCCGGAGGCGCCGGACGCTCTTCTCCAGCTGGGATGGGGACACCGGGGCTCCGGTGGGGGAAGGGGACGCGCGATCTTCCCTCCCCCATCTCTAGGCACCGTTCTCCCGGCCTGAACTTGACCCTTGGTTTTGGCCTCTGCCGCCCCCCCCTCCATCCCTCTACGGCATTTCCTGGAAAAAGCCAAAGTCCCCACAGGGCGTTGGGGGAGGGCGCGGGCTGCGGCGAGCGTCCCAGCCTAAGGTGGGGGGTCGGCCAGGTTATCTCTGGCCTCTGACCTTTGACCCTGCAGCCCCCGCTTTTCCTCAGGGAGGCCTCATTTCGCTCTGGGGAAACGTGGGAGTCACTTTCTTTTTCAAGGGGGGCGAGCGCCAGGCAGGGGTAAGGATTTGGGGTTCTAGGATGGGGGTCCCCAGGAACTGCGAAGCCCCTTCCGCGCCTCCTGGCCGCTCCTCGGGGTCTGTCGCGGCTCCCCCCAGGACCAGCCGTAGCCATCTCCTACCTCCACACCTTCCTGAGACATGGTGGCGGCGGCGCAGGTCCCAGAGAGGGTCCGCACTGCGCGGCTCAGCCGCCCCCCTACCTGGGCGCGCCCGTCGGTCCAGCAGCCGCGCAGGGCAGGGGGCGGTGCCTCGGGGCCGGCTCCGCCCTTCCTCCCTGGCCCCTGTTTCGCTTTCGGTTCGGGGGGGACCGGGCGCGCTGGCTCCGCCCTGGCTCCGCCTCTGCTCTTGCGCCCCAAACCCAGGCGGGCGCCCCGGGTCTGCACCCTGCGGCGGAGCGCGCAGACCTCGGGCGGGGGAGGCGGCGCGGCCTCTGCAGTCGGTCACATGTCCCCACGCTGCGCGGGGTCCGCGTCTTCACGTCCCTCGTGGGGGCGGGGCTGCATCAGAAGGCCGCGGCGAGGCCTCGCGCCCCCCCACCCAGCGCGCGCTCCCTCAGTCCATCACCCTCCTCTCTGTCCTCCCTCTTCCCCAGGGAATCTGGAGCTTCTGAGGACCTGGGCCTTTTCCTGCCCTGAGTCTTTGTACCGCTACGGTCACCTCTTTGAGCCTCAGTTTACTTCTCTGTGAAATGGGGGGGATCCTGGTGTCTATACCATGGAGTGGAGCCTGTGCCAAGATTCCCGAGTGGATCGCGTAATAGCGCCTGGCTTGCAGTAGGCGCTCAACTAGCACTGGGCCACCTGCTGTGTGCCCTTGATGGGGCAGGCAGTGTGCGAGTGGTGCGGGAGCGGTGCTTGAGAAAAATACAGATTCTTGGTCTCTAGTAGCCCGGTAGAATCCGGCTGTCTCAGGGATCCAGGGAATCTGCCATGGTTGAGAACGCGGTGGTCTGGGACAATTCGAACCTAGTACAGGACGCATCTGGGAGCCCTAGGGTGGTGGGGCTCTGGCCCAGCCTGGGGACATCAGAGATGGCTGCTTCATTGGAGGAGGGGATGCTTTGTACAGCGTCACTGGAATTGGAGGTTTAGGGGAGGAATAGAGTGCGGAGATGAAGCAGCCTGCGGAGCCCCCAAAGCAAGACTAAGTCTGGGGCGCTCGGGCAAGGGTTTCTTAAGCCCAGCACGCTTGACATTTTTGGGCTGCCTAGTTCTTTGTGTGGGGGACTGTCCTGTTATCAGGGGACATTTAACAGCATACCTGGGCTTCATCCACTAGATGCCAATGGCTCCCCACTCTCCCCGTGGTGACTACCAAATATGTCTCCAGAGACTGCCAGATACTCTCTAAGTGGCAAAATAGCATTGTATTCAACGACTCCAAATTTTTTTCTCCATTGGACACCCCATAGGTAAAACTGTTAAAGCTCCACCCCCAGATGGATGTTTATTTATTTATTTATTTATCTTTTGAGACAAGGTCTTGCTCTATTGCCCAGGCTGGAGTGCAGTGGCTTGATCATGGTTCACTGCAACCTTGAACTCCTAGGCTCAAATGACCCTGCTGCCTCAGCCTCCTAAGTAGCTGGGACTACTGGCTTATGCCACTATTCCTGGCTAATTTTCAATTTTTTTTGGTAGACACGGGGTCTTGCTATGTTGCCCAGGCTGGTCTCAAACTCCTGGCCTCAAAGATGGATATTATTTATAAGTTATATACAAATACAGTTATATCAATATATTCTGTAAATCGTTATATAACAATATCTTTATTATAGAAATATATATACACACACACACACACACACATATATATGTATTTTTTTTGAGATGGAGTCTTGCACTGTCGCCTGAGCTGGAGTGCAATGGTGAGATCTGGGCTCACTGCAACCTCCACCTCCCAGGTTCAAGTGATTCTCCTGCCTCAGCCTCCCAAGTAGTTGGGATTACAGGTGCCTGCTACCACACCTGGCTAATTTTTTGTATTTTGAGTAGAGATGGGGTTTCACTATGTTGGCCAGGCTGGTCTCAAACTCCTGACCTTGTGTTCCTCCCCCTTGGCTTCCCAAATTGCTGGCATTACAGGTGTGAGCCTCTACACTGGCCGAAAGATATGTTCTTTAGTAAACAAAAAACTGGTCCAGGCATGGATCACAAGGTCGAGATAGAGACCATGCTGGCCAACATGGTGAAATCCCGTCTGTACTAAAAATACAAAAATTAGCTGGATGTGGAGGCGTGCGCCTATAATCCCAGCTACTCAAGAGGCTGAGGCAGGAGAATCGCTTGAACCTGGGAAGCAAGGTTTCAGTAAGCTGAGATCACGCCACTGCACTCCTGCCTGGTGACAGACTATCTCAAAAAAAAAAAAAAAAAAAAAAAAGTAGGCCGACTCAGTGGCTCACACCTGCAATCCCGCACTTCCGGAGGCAGAGGTGGGTGGATCACCTGAGGTGAGGAGTTCAAGACCAGCCTGACCAAGATGATGAAACCCCGTCTCTACTACAAATACAAAAAAGTTAGCCGGGCATGTTGGCATGCACCTGTAATCCCAGCTACTCAGGAGGCTGAGACAGGAGAATCGCTTGAACCCACGAGGCGGAGGTTGCAGTGAGCCAAGATCACACCATTGCACTCCAGCCTGGGCAACAAGAGAGAAACTCTGTCTCAAAAAAAAAAAAAAGAAAGAAAGAAAAGAAAAGAAAACTGTAATCTCAGCTACTTGGGAGGCTGAGGCAGGAGAATCACTTGAACCCACGAGGCAGAGGTTGCAGTGAGCTGAAATCATGCCATTGCACTCCAGTCTTGGCAACAAGAGCGAAACTTCATCTCAAAAAAACCAGTAAACTGCAGATTTAAATCTATACATCAGGGCTAGGCTTGGTGGCTCACACCTGTATCCCAACACTTTGGGAATCTGAGGCGGGTGGATCATTTGAGGCCAGGAGTTTGAGACCAGCTTGGCCAACATGGGGAAAACCTAATTTTTCATTTTTTATAGATACAGGGCCTTGTTGTGTTACCCAGGCTGGTCTTGACCTCCTGACCTCAAGTGATCCTCCCACCGCAGTCTCCCAAGGTGCTGGGATTACAGGTGTGAGCCATTGTAGCTGGCAATTTTTGTCTTTAATAGAGATGGGTTTTGCACCATGTTGGCCAGGCTGGTCTGGAACTCCTGACCTCAGGTGATCCACCCTCCTCAGCTTCCCAAAGTGCCGGGATTACAGGACTGAGCCATCGTGCCTGACCTCTTTTTTTTTTTTTTTTTTTTAGATACAGAGTCCCACTTGCTACCCAGGTTGGTATGCCATGTCGACATCATAGCCCACTGCAGCCTTGAATTCCTGGGCTTGAGTGATCCTCCTGCCTCAGTCTCCCAAGTGGCTGTGATGATAGGTGTGCATCATCATGTCAGCTAATTTTTTTGTTTTTGACATGGAGTTTCACTCTTGTTGCCCAGGCTGGACTGCAATGGCACGATCTTGGCTCACTGCAACCTCTACCTCCCAGGTTCAAGTGATTCTCCTGCCTCAGTAGCTGGGATTACAGGCATGCGCCCCCACACCCGGCTAATTTTGTATTTTTAGTAGAGACAGGGTTTCTCCATGTTGGTCAGGCTGGTCTCCAACTCCCAACCTCAGGTAATCTACCCGCCTTGGCCTCCCAAAGTGCTAGGATTACAGGTGTGAGCCACCGTTCCCGGCCATTTTTTTTTTTTTAATCATAGAAACAGGGTCTCATTTTATTGCTCAGGCTGATCTTGATCTCCTGGGCTCAAGTGACCCTCCCTCCTCGGGCCCCCAAAGCCCTGGAATTACAGGCATAAACCACTGCACCTGGTTTGAATTTTTCTTGCAACAAACATCTAATCTATCATTTTTATAATGAGAAAAAAAATACCCAATAAGATAAAGCCAATTAATTTTTAAAAATAACACGGAGAAAGAAATAATAATAACATGGATGAAATCCTGGACACTATCTTTGACAATGAACACCTAAGACATAAGAAGTAATTTGGGATTTTATAATTTGAGTAGTTCTCAGCTAATCGAACATCCTTTGTAGCACAGAAATCTATTGTTTGAGGCTTATGAAATCAGCTTCATATACTTTTCCAGGAATACCTTATGGGCAAAACCTGAGGAACTTGTTTGATGGAGCTCTGCTCAGATGAGTTTGGAGAAATTATAGTGGCTAAAAGAAATGCCCTGAGTGTATCTGGGGCTCACTGGGTGTCAGGCTCTCTGCAGGTTGTGCCCTCGGCCTTAGGATCTTCTGGCTTAGGCATGATTGTCCCTTACAGAGGAAGAAACTGAGCCTTCAAGAGATTAAACAAATCATGCGGACAGCCAGCTTATAAGTGGTATAGCCAGGATTTGAATTCAGGCCAACTGACTGCAAACTCCTTCAAGCTGGAATTTAGGTTGAGAATTGTAGATATGAAGGGGGCATGCTTTGGAACCAGGCAGTCCTTAACCCACCTCCCTTCCTTCCTCTCTCCTTCCTCTCTCCCTTCCTTCCTATTTTCTTTCTTTCTTTTTTTGAAACAGAGTCTTGCTCTGTCTCCCAGGCTGGAGTGCAGTGACACGATCTTATGTCACTGCTACCTCTGCCTCCTAGGTTCAAGGGATTCTCGAGCCTCAGCCTCCAGAGTAGTAGCTGGGATTACAGGTGTGCACCACCATGCCCGGCTAATTTTGTATCTTTAGTAGAGACAGGGTTTTGCCATGTTGGCCAGGCTGGCCTCAAACTCCTGGACTCAAGAGATACGTCTGCCTCAGCCTCCCAAAGTGCTGGGATTATAGGCTTTAGCCACCACATCTGGCCACTTTCTTCCTTTCTGGGGGGATGGGAACTTGCCTCGTCAACAGGTTGGAGTGCAGTGGCATGATCATAGGTCACTACGGCCTTCACCTTCTGGATCAAGTGATCCTCCCACCTCAGCCTTCCAAAGTGCTGGGACTACAGGTGTGAGTCACCACGCCCCGCACCTTGGCTTATCTCGTGTTTCCTAAGGCGTGGCCTGTGGGAAACAGTCCTTCACTCCAACTTGCTGCCACATCTCAGCTCCTGACCGCAGAAACATCCATTGTTAATCATTGATCCTACATTCTGGAGGAAAACCAAGGCCAGAAGTCTCCGAGGCAAAGTACTAAAGAAAAGGCAGTTGCTGCAGACACCAGGCCTGTAACTCCGGGATATAGGATGGCCAGACAGCGTCACCTCTTTCTACTTTACATTTTGAAATTTTAAATTTGTGTCTAGCATTCCCTCCCCTCTAAGCACGACTCTCTGCCCTTTTTTTCCTTTTCTGATTGCAAGAGCAAAGCGTGTTGGACCTCTCCTCCAAACAAGTTAAACATTAAGAAGGGTTTGATTTAGAAGGAGGAAGTCCCTGTGTACGCACGCACGGTAAAAAACATTACATACTTTTGTCCGTG